TATATATATATATATATATATATATATATATATATATATATATATATGTGGTAGAAAAATGATAAAAGTAGTTGGACAATACGCTTACATAATATAAAATATAGGAAGTTATTAGCCATAGATGAGCGATGACCATTATGTCAAACAATTTTTCATCCATGACTAATAACTTTCTACACTTTACTGTATAAAAATACTGACTAACCGTGGGTAATTTTTATCATTTTTCTGTCGTTCGTCCCATTGTTTCCAAAGAGAACCAGCAAATAAAATAGCTAAAACATTAAGGATGCTTCGTCGAACTTTCATTGTTATGAAACGTGGTGGAGACTTCTATAAAATATACGATATTTAGCTTCCTGTTGCCTTTATAGCAAAATTGTATATACCAAATTTATTGAAAATTAAATTTTGGAACCTTCTTGTTCCATACAAATCTTCGATAGAGTCAAAGATAACCGAGATACCACCCTAACTAACTGAATTAACACGCTCGTAATTATTTTATTTCCAGGTCGATCTCCAGATCCATGAGCAACGTGATTAGTCAACGCGTGAGCTCATCGTCTACAGCTCTGGAGGGTGCCGTGGGATTGTCGTCCAGCAGAAGGACTGGCTTCGACCCCAGCGAACCTATTTACACCGATCCATCGCTCTTCGAGGTCGCTCGCTGCTCGTCGCCTAAACCTGCACTCAATGATAACTTCCATCTGATGTAAAATAAGGGAAACTTACGTACTTAAAATTCTAAACGAAACTGAGGAACGTTTACAAATGGAAACATCGACAAGTTCAAGTTTGAATCATGTAACTTTTGGATAACGTTCGATCTCAATACTATTATTTAACGATCTGCGTTAGAGTTCTTAGTATTTTTAAATAAATCTCACACTCTCATTGAAAGGCTAAGAATACGAAGTAAGACAGCTACGTTCACTGCTAGTCAAGTTCACTGACCACTGCCAGCTACGACTGCCGTGTCAATAAATTGACAATGACATTCACATTCGTTAAAATCGCTACAATAATATGAAAATGAAACTGCTTTTGTGATTTCCTCAACTATTTTTATATACACACACAAATATTATAATCGTACAGACCTGTTGCCTTGCAGTAAGACTACGCAATATTTGCTTATAATTAAATATTGAGAGAAAACGTGTAAAAAAAAAAATGTTGTAGGGAAGTTTTCTATTTGTGATAAATAGGAAATCAAATAACTCTCCTATAGTCGGTGCAGAATCGACTGGCAGCTCAAGACCACGTCCCCATCACAGCTAGGGATAGTTAACAGTATGGTGGGGGTAGCCCTTAAATAGCCACTAATTCGCTCTAATTTGGTTTCAACTATAGTCGAGAATTTCATCCAGGAAAGTCTAGCAAATATTCACTATAAGTCGATGTTCTCGGAACTGTACTACAACATTCTGTTCATATCTCTAACATTAAGTAATCACGGAATACGAGAGTATTTTCGTTGTCAACGGAGAACCTGTAGAACATATATTCCTATCCACGAAAACGGAGAGCTCTCTATCTTCGAATTAAAAAGAAACTATCAGAAAATCGTCGAGTAGCTAGCGTTACGAACTTTTATTTATTACGACTATATTTCAATTGTACCTAGAGTAGAAATAAACAGATACAACAGAAAACACGTGGAATTCGATCGTTTCCAATCCAAGGATGTCTTCTTTGTCTATCAAAGCGATCAACAAGAACGTTACGCATTACAGTTTCTATACACTAATCGCTTCCCCGAGTCAATCCTCTTTTATTCGATCGAGCTTGTACGTGAAAAGAACCATCCTCAGTCTGGCTTCCTCTTTGCGATAGTGAGCCTCTTCCAATTTAATCCGAGCCTCCTCTTTCAACATAGCAGCGATGTCGACCTTCATCTGTGCTTCCGACAGGGCCAACGAGTGGAGTTCCTCCTCTCTATGCAGAGATCTTTTCGCTTTACGAGGCTGCTCGTGAACGATCGAAGGCGAGATCAATGTTTGCCTTGGGTTCGATTTATAAATCTTATCATTTCCTTCGGGTGTGTTTCCTATGGTTGGGGAATTCGAATTTTGGACTGATTTGTCGTAACAATCGCCCATGGGACCGTGGGGTAAATGGTGAGGATCGACTTTATTGATGAGAGAATCTGGGGCAACGAACAAATGTAAATTGTTAATGGTATTGAAGGCACAGGGTTCATCGGGCGCCATCTATAGCCAGACGGCACATTTTGTGCATTTGCGATATAAACGAATATAATAAAATGAAATAACATTATTATACAGGGTACGTTTACGTGTAAGTTCGGACATACGCAGGGTGTCAATTCTACAACAAAATTTCCAACAAAAAATTACTCTTAGACATTTTCTTTGTGTCGCCTTATTCTCGAGAATTTTCACTTTTAATATTTTTTCTGTGTTTTCGACTTGACAATCTTTAAACGACCATAACTCCACCAAATTACAGTGTAAACTTAAACCTAAGTATACCACTCGAAAGAGCGTTAAATTTACCATCTCCCTGATGCCGAATCAAAATTTATTACGTAGATTTAACAAGAGAAAAAGTAAGTCAAACTTTGCATTGTGAAAATTTTAAAAAATTTAACTTTTTCTCTATCCGTTTTTCGGTTTCAAAGACATAGTTGTTTGGCGGGCACTCTTCGGGAAAAAATTTTCTCGATGTCTCAGCTTTTGAATGGTATTGCCAAAAAAAATTGTATGATGGTATTTTAGGGAGAAAAATACGTTTAAATACAGAAAATCGTGGGTTTTTAGGTGAAAATCGATATTTTTCAACAAAAATCGACTTGTCACTTTAAAATTAACTTGACATCGGGTTTGATGTATTTTTTAGTGACACTCCCGAGCCTCCCCAATTAGGAAAAAAACTGATTTTTTGACACCTCAAGCCTCTCCCAGCCGTGTGTAGAGCCTGATTGCGAGGTGAATAATGTGTAATTGCTTTTGAACATGTATCCATAGAGTTTTCGTTTTTAGAGACTATTTAATCAAAATCAATCTCGGTGTACCGATAAATGATACAAAGATTGGAACATGATCGATTTCACAAAGCGAAAAATCAATGTTTTCGGCGTAGGAGAACCGATAAATTTTGAATTGAGGAGGCGGACATTTTGAACGCTTTTCTGCATTTAAACATAATTTTCTCCCGAAAATACCACCATACCATTTTTTTTGGCAATACCGTTCAAAAGCTGAGACTTCGAGGAAGTTTTTCCCGAAGAGTGTCCGCCAAACAACTATGTCTTTGCAACCGAAAAACGAATAGAGAAAAAGTCAAATTTTAAAAAATTTTCACAATGTAAAGTTTGACCTAATTTTTCACTTGTTAAATCTACGTAATAAATTTTGATTCGGCATCAGAGAGATGGTAAATTTAACGCTATTTCGAATGGTATACTTAGGTTTAAGTTTACACTGTAATTTGGTGGAGTTATAGCCGTTTAAAGATCGTCAAGTCGAAAACACAGAAAAAATATTAGAAGTGAAAATTCTCGAGAATAAGGCGACACAGAGAAAATGTCTAAAAGTAATTTTTTGTTGGAAATTTGTTGTAGAATTGACACCCCGCGTGTGTCCGAACTTATACGTAGACACCCTGTATTAATCAGGAGGAAGTAATCGGAACGAGAAGGAAAGGTAAGAAATATAACCTGTATCTTTACAATAGTTTTCGTCTTTTAAATTTTTCGTCGAAGGTTTCACGGTATGGACACTTTGCAAGGTAAAGGGTTCAGATTCCTTGGGCTCGAACATGACGTTTGGGGGCAACCCCACGCTACCAGATATGGGAGCTTCCGTCACGGAGTTTCTATTCTCCCAGTATTTTGACCGTGCGTGATCCTTGGACAGCTGGCAGAAACTCTTCGAGACCCTACGGAGAAAAAATATCACGTACAAATGAAGGTAAATAAATAAATTACACAGGTATTCAAACTTCACTTCAGCCGTATACTTCGACCATAACTTTACGTACGAGGGAAATATTTTTAAAACGCAAAGCTAGCCTCGTTTGAAAAAAATTATTTTCTATGGTATTTCAACAACAGAAACGTTTGAAATGGTCATGACGAATGGAACACCCTGCACATCGACCTTCCAGCGTGTTTACAAGAAAGCGAGAGTTTATGAATGCGTTGTAATTACCGTAACTTCTTTTCCTCCCGATTTCGTTTGCAAGCTTTCATGTTTTCCCAGCAGCGCCTTAATTGTACAGCGGAACGCACGCCTTGCGGACCTACCATCGAGTTGTATTCGTTGGCAAGTTGAGACCAGGCTGATTTCCGTTTGCACATTGATACAGGATCGGACTTCTTCTCTTCTATGTCCTCGTATTTGTTTATCAACGCGATCAGAATCTTGCGTTCCTCGAAACTGTACGTTTTTCGTGTACTCTTCAGCGACGAAGCCATTTTAAAGCGGTGGAAATGCTAGACTATCGTCGCCGACTTCTACTGTTTATCTTTCGATGGAAGCACAACTTAATGGCTAAAATCATTGTACAGAGGGAATCGTCTATCGCAACTAACGTCAAGATGAGTTCGATCGAGGAATCAATGAATGATTTAATAATAACTTGGCCTGTATACTTGAATTTAATATATTGCCAAATAATGAGGGACAACTTGGGTACTCGATTCTAAATATACGTGCATTAACATACAGTGGGTGTAGAAAGTATTCGTACACCGATCAATTTCCAAAAAAACTATGTAAAATTGTAATTTATTAACTTATTTTTAATAAACAATGACATTCTGCATATTCTCGAAAATCTCAAGAATAAATAGATTACAAAAAAAAATAGCTATTTATGTAAGTTGCGAAATTAACAAGAAAAAACAATTAATCGATAAAAATATTAAAGCAATAAGTATTCGCACAACTGTTTAATTTTTAAAACTTCATTAAAAAAAAGAAATTTACATTAATTTATAAATATGTAATACTTCCTTCGTGGGATTTCCTTTTGATTTTATAATTATTGGAACTCTTCTAAGCATTAAATTAACTAAATTATTAATTAGAAGTTAATAAGAAGTGAGATCTTTTTCCATTTCTCTATTAGAGCCTTTTTTTAAAGTACTTTCGCATTTTTGTTGTTAATTTCACAAATTATATTAACTAGTAAATGTCGTTTGTACTATATTTATTTTAGAGATTTCTGAGAATATCTAAAATATCATTGATTTTAAAAAAGAAGTTAAGAAACTACAATTTCACACAAAAGTTTTTTAGGAAATTGATCGGAGTACGAATACATTCTACACCCACTGTAAGTTTAAATTGGATTAATATTTACCAGTATTTATTTTTTGGACTGATACTGGTTCAAAGCACGTTTTCATAATAAAGGAAATGACGCTACCGACGCTACTGAAAGAAGGATGGTGTCTTCATCTACTCGCAAGATGCTCAAACTTGTAGAAGTATAATTCATGATTGTCACGAATAGATGGCGCCACGAGATTGAAAAAACCGCGAGATGATTCAAATGTTCCAATTGTAATATAATCAATTCGATGCACAGATCTTAATTAAATATTAGGTTGTCCCAAAAGTTTCTTCCATTTCATTAATAAGTAATACGTACACAATATTTTATGTCTAATGTTACATTATTAAATTGCGTACGATTCATTTTGCTCCAGTTGTCTATTTATATAAACACTGCCACAGAAAATAATTGAGTGCAAGTCACGGAAGAAACTTTGAGGACAACCTAATACGTGTATCACTTTGAGGATGATTTCTGATTCATATAATCAATATCTTGTATGTTTTATTTAGATTGCATATGCACGAATGGATTAGAACTAAATGATACGTATCTCATAAATTTGTTGTTTCATGATATATAATAAGAAGTATTCTCTCGAATAATGCGTTTAATTTTTCCTTCGTCGTTCGAATATTTTGTCTAGATAAGAATTTTACCCAATTCTGCGCAAAATATATTCATAAACACATGTCCATTCATGTTTGTAAACATGAAAGTTTTGTTTATGAAAATACAACGTGAAACATATGTTTACTTACAGTATTACGTTGATAAAGAGCAAAATACGTGTCCTATTTGAACATCTCTCTGATATCTTGTGTTCTTCAATCTTTGAAAAGTCACAGAACGCGAACCTTCGCTTCGCGATTGTTTTGTTGTGTTACCAAAAAAAGAAAAGAGAGTTTTGCACACTTTAACACTTTAGACAATCGCGCAAGAATTCACACACGAAACTAATATTATTTACATGTTCAAACGAAAATTTAATCGCGTCGTTTGGTAGCTGTTGCAAAAGCAGAACTGGCGGGAAAGGAAAAGAGAATGTAGTTCGTAGACTTCTCTAGTAGCTGGCGCCAGGAGTAAACTATTTTAATGGCAGTGCGTTCAAAATACAACAACATGCATACGGTATCGCAAAATTACGGAAGACGGTGAATCAAGTGACAGGTGTGGTAATCGCAGTAAATGTTGTAAAATGAAACGGCATGTTTCACCTGATGCGATTTCTTAGCGGACTCGTTTTGCTTGTTCTCACGATACCGCTGGGCAATGGTGCGAATAAGACATATGAGATCGACTGCAATAACCTACGAATGGGGCAGTACATCTGCCCTCATCCCGATTATGATTTCATAGATCCAGAAACGCAACAACCGAAGGGTTGCACCAAGGAGAATAAAGCCAAGGGTGAGTTAAATCTGTTTCGTTTCGATATACCTTTTAAAATAAAAAATAGTTCAACCTAACCTGTATCTAAAAAAATGCTGACTCTAAGAATTCGATCGTACAATCTTCGTCATTATCTCTATACAAGTTTCGTTACTATCTCGATACCAGGGAAACGTTCAACTTCATATTTAGAAGATAATATTTTCAAGAATTAAGTTTTATGATCATTAGTTTTGGAATATTTCTTCCTCCCCTCCTCTCGTCCTCTTCATTCATGGATTCAATATTTTCTTCAGTTTCTGTTGTTTTGTAAGATATGAGAGCATTAATTATGTAATTGTTATGTTCTTGTCAGTGTTGTGTCTGGCTGCAGATGGCCTCATTTGTACAGAAACACAAAATAATACGTTCAAGAAGGACATTCCTTGTAAATGGACGTAAGTATATGATATTACATAAATATAAATACTACTATTTTCATGCTTTCTCAGCCAACAATACATGATCTAAAATTACTCATAAAACGAATTCGTATTTTTGGAAAGTAAACAGTCATTGCCCAATATTTTGAAGATAGAATTACAATGAGCAATAGAAAAAGTACACTTTAGTATCCATGTTTACAACTTACATATGTGAGATAATATGTTAAATAAAATTCCCGCTTGTATTATGTTTTTTACAGAAATGGATATTCCTTTGAAACATCATTGTTACTCTCTATATTTCTTGGTATGTTCGGAGCTGATAGATTTTACCTAGGGTATCCAGCACTGGGCTTGCTTAAGCTGAGTACTTTAGGATTCCTCTTTCTCGGCCAATTCGCTGATGTAATACTTATAGCGACGCAAATTGTAGGACCTGCAGATGGTTCTCACTATGTGATGCCATATTATGGTGCAGGAATTCATATCATAACAAGTAATAACTTTACATACAGAGTGCCACAATATGACTGCTGAAAACGTTCTAATTGGAAGTTAAAATGATAATTACTCTGAAAATTGTACAGTCCCTGCTTCTATCACGAGCAACGATATGCAATCCTAGAATCGAGTCCTATTTCAACATACCTGGAAGCAAATTGCTGTCTATGCTATTTTAATGAGCAAACAAAAAAAATCCTCTTGTAGATATGTAATTCAACGAAACATTGTATATACAGATTTGTTACTGACTTATTATCTCTATTGCCACTATAGTCGTATATAATAAATATTTGTTTTTATTTCTGTGTTTTTCTCATCCTTCTCCCATTTTACTACGAACTAAATACTACGAAATATTGCGCTTACGTTGATTTATTTCGTCCCAATTTTTGTTGTTATCGTGCACTATCTTCGATATCACAGGATCTTAATTGGCCTTGAAATATAGAACGTGCTTACCGATCCGTTTTGTCACGGTTGATTGCATACAAACCTTAATTAAAACAATAACACGTAAACTTTTTTCACCGACCGACAATATACAATTTACCACAAAGAAGTTGTTGGTCTTACTGTACGCATTTTCGCGTTGTCAAAAAATGACACGAAGTGACGTTAATCGTATCGTCTCTTACGGCTAACGTCTGTATTTATCACGCGTAATTATTATCGAGCACGTCTTTGATATAAAAATGCCAGAACGCGTTCCCATCGCTGCCATAAAACTTTTGGAAACGACGAAAAAGAGTGTATGGTCACTAGTCGGCCACGAGCAAACCTGTAAAGTACTTATAAATCAACTAACGCAAACATGAAGAATTTCATTTTATTTCTATTGCTCCATAATCTAGTCTCGATCGTCGTTAGCCAACCAGTACAAAAGCTACTCGTGAGTGATGAATCATTTTCAAATTGTTTATAATATATTTTATGATAGTAAAATTTGAAAATTCAATATTCATTAAGTATCAAAAATGTGTA